AATAAAATAAGCCTGCCTAGGGCTCATTCATCCTGTTAGCAAAGAATTGTGAATAATATTAGATTAGTGTTCATCCTTTAATTCAAAAGCTTTTGGAAAATAAGAAAATCAGTTTTAGAATCCAACACTCCATGTATATGTGTGTGTGGGGTGCTGCTTTCTTGGCAAAAATAAAGATGATGATATGAATATGCTTTCAGATGGGATAGAGTACTTCCTCTCATTATTATTTCTCCCAAACTAGCCCTGAATTGGATAAAACATTAACTTCGCTAAAAAGTAGAAAGAAAAAAAAAAACAGACACAGGAATATTTTATGATAAATTATATAGCACATCATCTGCCCTTTTCTAATGATAATCAAAATGGAAAAGCATTTAACCTCCTTGTAAACCTTTGGTAACTGGAACATAAAGAGGCTGGCAAGGTTGCTGAGAAAGGAAATGAAGGGAAACTAACATCTTTTTAATTCCTAAACATTTTCACACTCTTGATGGCAATCAATCCTTATCACAACCTCCTTATGTGGGTATGGGAGGCAGCATAGTATAGTGAAGAATGGGGCTTTCAAGCTATAGACTTGATTTCTAATCCTAACTCTCACCATTTCTTAGCTGTGAAACCTCTGGCAAGTTATTCGTCTCTCAGCCTCAGTTATGTCATCTGTAAAATAGGGAGAATACCTCTTGCCACATAAGATGTTTATGAGGAGCAAATGTAAAGCACCTAGCAGAGTCCTAGAATGGAGTAGGTACAACTCAATATGATGATGATGATGTAGTTAATTTTGCAAATGAGAAAACAGGCTCAGAGTTGAAGTGTCTTGCTAAAGGTGGCACAGCTAGTAAACTTGAAAGACATCTAAGCACAGTGCCAGGGACTATAGCAGTTGCCCAAATCAACATTTTGTTTGTTTTCTTCCTTCCAAACCCAAAACTTAATTATTTTCTGAGACCCTTATTCCTTGAAAATAATGAGTTAGGGTAAATTTTAGCTATGTCGATGCACGATGTAATCACTAACATATATTTGTGAAAATTAAAAACGTTTTCTCTGAGTCACAGGTAGTAATACATGGAATAAAACAACAGAAGATTCCAGACTCACAAAAAAGATGAAGATTGGGTCTACCATTTTGCCTAACATAAGACAATTTATTTCTCCTCCTAAAGGGTACATATTTTCCCTCCTAGGTGTCTCTATAGATCAGCGAGTCAGTGGCAGATGAGATCCCATTTCCAGACTTTTATCTCCCGGACCTTTATATTAATACTTTAGTGTATATAAGTCAATGCACTGAAGGATGGTGCTGGCTAAAAATATAAATATATTCAAAATGTGTTTATGTAAGTTCATGGATGATAGATTTAGGTTTTTGTCCTTGGCCTTGTTCTAGTCTCAACCTTATGCATTGTCTTTGGATAATCTCATCCATCCCCAGGCATCTCCTACTCCAAGACACTGATGATCTCAAATCTACTTATATCGACAGCCCAGATCTGTCCTGAATCCTAGACACACATTTTCAACTGCCTGATGTCACATAGCATCTTAAACTTAACATGTCCAAAAGGAAACTCATCTTTTCCCTTTCAAACTTGCTCCTCCTACTATGTTCTTTCTTTTGGTAAATGAATCACCATCTTCTCAGTTTCCCAAATGTAAAACTTTAAATCATCCTTGATTCTGTTATTTTTTTCAGTCTTAAATGGCCATTAATTATCAAGTCTTATCACTTTGACCACACCTATATCTCTTGAATGTGTTTCTTCACCTCCATAGCCATTGTTTAGCCTCCATTGCCATTCTCAGCTTTGGCCCAATTCAGTGGCCTCACAGATTTTCTCTCTGCAACCTGTTATTCCCAATTGCAATCAATCTTCTACACTGCCATCTATACTTCTACAATTCAAATGCATACTTCTCATCCTAAAAATTAAAATTCATCATGAAATTCTCCAGCAATCGAAAGGTTTTTTTTTTTTCTTTAAAGGGGCAAAAGCACCTAAATTGAGCATGCAAGATTTCATAATCTGGTTACAACATATTTTGCTCTACTCATATTGAATGTTTCACTGTTCCAGGTCTCTTTCATAGCTTTGTACTTTCCACCTGCAAATCTAGTCTCTTGGAATGTTCTGTTAAACTCTTATTTACATGGATCCTGATTTCCCTGAAGAAGTTAGTTGTTTTATCTGGCATACTTCCACAGTACTTTATTTATCAGTCAAAGCACTTAATACATTTAATTACAGTAATAAGTTTTGAATTTCTATTTTCTCCACCATATTATGAGTTTCTCATAAGCAGTCATCTCCCTCCCCTGCATTGGCCTCAAAGCCTGACACATATTAAGTACTAAATAAAAGGTTATTGAGTAAAAATAGTTTATTGAGAGGAATTAGGGGCTGGGCAGGGGCTCATGCTTGTAATCTCTTAGCACTCTGGGAGGCTGAGGCGGGAGGATCATTTGTGCTCAGGAGTTTGAGACCAGTCTCAGTGAGAGTGATACCCCCTCTCTACCAAAAATAGAAAAAAATTAGCCAGGCATGGTGGCATGAGCCTGTAGTCCCAGCTACTCAGGAAGCTGAGGCAGAAGGATCATTTGAGCCCAGGGGTTTGTATCTCAAATTCCTTTTGATCACTTTCACAGAGACAGAAATCTAAGGCTGGGAAGCTTTTCATATTGACTCAGCATAAAATTGCTTATACTTTTAGAACTACCACCAGACTGCATTCTTATTTGAACTCACAACATACTAGGTCAACCATCTACACCCTAAATCCCAGAACCTACAAATCACAATTGTAAATTAATCTTCTGTAAGGACAAACTTACAGATAAATATTTTAATGGGAACCACACATTTCTTAAAGCCAAAAAAATCTCCATAGGAAAACATTTCCCAATTGTCAAGCAGTAGAAGAAAATTATTTTAGAGCAAATTTATATGATCTTAACTAAAAAATATGGAAGATTAGAATGAATTACTTTTCAAGTAATTACTTTTCAAGAGATACAAGATTTTTAAAAATTATGTTGAGATAAAAATGAGTAATATAGTTAATATCATAAACATTTAATGTATATTTAAATGTTAGTATAAATATATTAAATCTTTGGCTCAATTTAAAGTTTTTTAAATGTAATATTCGAGTACTAATTAGAATACAGTTTTCACTTGTAGTAACTGCATTTGATATGGTAATATTTAAAAAGCAGTTTTCAATGCATGCTAAGCACTTGCATTTCAGGTGATAGCAACTAATCCTTAAATAAAAACCTATAAAGCAATACTATATGCAAAGTTTTGTAGGAAAATAGAGATCAATAAAGAAATCATGATCCCCATCTTTATTGAGAGCACAATCTAGGAGGATATACACAACCATAATAGGAGGTAGAAATGGGTTCAAATAAAGTATCCTTGACGTTCATGGAGGAAAAGATTACCTACACAATGGGGGTAGTAATGGTATTGGGGTGAGAAGGCAGCAAAGGTTCAGTGGCAAAAGATGCTTGTAAGCTTGGCCTTGAAAAATGGTTGAGTAGGTTAAGGGAGATAGCAGGGAAGGATATTCCAAGAAAGAGGTAGAGGTAACAATACAGAAAAGGGACTGAAGACAGATCAGGTGAGATCCAGGGAAACACATTAGAAAATAAAAAACAGTCTAGGTGAGATATAATGAGAGTAATGAGAATTAAAATGGAGAGAAGAAGATGGATTTGAGAGATGTAGAAATCAACTCTGCTGGATGAGGCAACTGATTACATACAGAGAGTACATGTGGTTGACTAGGAAAATGGGGGCATTACTAACAGATGTCAGTGATACAAGGAAGATAAATGGGATGAGGGGGTTAAAATGATTGTTTCCACTTTAGATAGACTGCTTTAGAGTTGCCAGTGTGTTATTCATTTGGAAATGTTCAGCAGGTAACTGAAAATTTAGGACTAGTGTTGAGGAAGGAGGTTAGAGTTGAAGATAAATATTTGGAAGTCACCCATATAGACGTGATCATTGAAGCCATCTGAGAAAAAGAGCTTTCAGAAGGATGGAGCAGTGATCTTCAAACTTGAGCAGAAATTAGAGTCCCCTGGAGGGCCTTTGTAAATCACATATTGCTGGGTCCCACCCTCAGGGTTTCTGACTCAGTAGGTCTAGGTTGGGGCTTGATAATTTGCATTTTTAAGAAGTTCCCAGATTATGCTGATGCTGCTGGTCCAAGGTCCACACTTCGAGAATCATTGATCTAGATAACCAAATTTATTATTTTTTTAATCTCAGTATTGACCTAGTCATAAAAAATAACTTGTGCCAATGTCAACATCTTTTTTCTATGTAGTTAAAATAGTGCCTAATACTGCTTATCTATCAGTTAAAAAGAAATAGAGAATTATATTTCTATCTATCTTTTTCTAATTTGTTAGAAATTGTCTTGTCAATCCATAATTGAGAAACCAAGGCTATTCAGAGAATATGCTCCAAAATATGGCTGTGGTAGGAAGGGTTCCAAAAAATTCTTACTTTTCCTTCAGACTATGCTGCACAGGTTTCTGCATTCTGGTGACAGACTTTCTGGACCCTTGTCTGGTGGTCTCCATTAACCTGCTAGCTTTGTCAGCAGTCAAATATTTATTTGAGACTTTTGTCCTATATATGCAATGGCTTGAAAAGCACTTAGCTGTTTACTTTTCTTCTTACTTTAAATTATTTATCCTTCAGTCTGTAAATGGCTATTTGTAGGATTAGACAAATTTTGAATGCTCTGATAAGAGGATTGTTGCATCCAAATTCATACATAATCTGTAAAAAGCACATGTAACCTACAACCTCAGCTGGGTTGGCATATGAAACAGATTCCCTGAGCATATGTAAGCAGTGCAATTTATTAACCAGTTAACATCAGCAAATTTATTTTTGAAACATAAGTTTATGCACACTAAGCATTCTCTAATGAGAAATAATATTAGTTGTAAAAATCCAATAAAAATATACCTTGAGTAGTTTTCTCTACTTCTTTCCTCTTTCTGCTCTGGCTGTTGTAATTCATCCTCAGCTCTTGGTTATACTCATGCAGAGTTTCCCTGGAGTTGTATGACTGTCTTGGTTTTCTTCCATCTTCACTCTCATCAGAAGAACTGGTATAAGCTAGATCCATTTCATGCTTGACTTTTGACAGAGGCTGGTAGGGTTTGCAGTCTGTTTGTTCCATCTCTGATTAAGCAAGCTCAGTTTCATGAAAAACAAAAAAGGATGAGGAAGTCCTTTAAAGCAAGCAGTCCTGGAAAAGAGAAGGAAAAACACAAGCCTTCTTAGATTTGTCCTTTTGTGAGGAAATGCATCTATCTGGCAGATTCACAATTGGTCCTGATAATACTATCAAAGGAGTGAAGTAAAAGACAAACTAGATGACATGAAGCTAGCCGGAGGCAATAATAACACTCTGTGTTACATGCATTCATTGTCAAGCATTTAGGATTAAGCTGGAGGTTACAGCATCAGAAAATATTCAAGGTAAAAGAGAGACAGCCTTCAAAAATATTTGTATTGTGATGCAAATAGAGGACAATGTTGTTCTATGGTGAGTGTGTTTTTAATGTTAAAATCAGCGGTTAGATTAAAAAACATTATTGGATTTGAAAGTGGTGAGGAGTACAAAGATTAACCCAGTACATTCCACATTTGAAATGAAAACTGGTAAGAGAGCTACATTCAGAAAGAACACATTCTTGCCGCTGGTTTAATATTACATTTAAGACAGGGGCTCTGAGGAAGTGAAGGATTCTGAGTGAGAGAGCTCATGAAATAAAGTGTCCTTGAGGGGGACTGAGCTCTTTGTGTTCATATTGTGGCTTTTGAGCCTCAGGCCTGCAGAGCATTTTTAATGAGTTAGGTGGTGGTAAATTTTTTCCTTCATAGTACCGAGAGGATGTAAACAACACTTCTGGTGAGTATACTGGTATAGAACAGCAGGACCTAAATCGGTTTTAGAAATGGCAATTTTAAACTTCATGATAAATCACTGAAAGAACCCCCTGTCCCCACAGAATGCTGAGCTAGGAGCCACTGAAGCTCTTAGGGCCAGTAGAGGCATTAACTGCTCTACTTAGCACGAAGAGGTTTGAGAAGATCAAGTGCCATCTGAGATGTCAAAGTCCTCTGTAAAGTTAAAAGCCTTGTAAAAATGTTCTTATTTTCATTCTTCACATTATTTTATCATCACTATTTCCATCCACTGCTGCAACTTTGCAACTTGGTCCTTTCATACAATATTTAAAAACCTAGTTTGGAACCAAGTAACTTTACGATTTTATTTTGCAGTGAAATTGACTCCTCATTTTTCTTCAGCTCTTCAGCATATGCATTTTCAAAGAAATCTACAGACATCTAAATGGTCGCTCCTCTATCATGTAAACTCTCACTTTTGGAATTCCTTTTGCATTTATGGCAAGCATATAGAATGTAGAAATCACTCAATAAAGGCTTATAGATTCACTGATATATATTAAATGGTACATACTGCTTTATAGTATGAATACAGTTGTACAAGTTGGGGTCTTCTTTTCCTAAAATGTTAATAAGGTCTTTGAAGGAAGGATTTGAGTCTTATTCCTCGTTATATTCCCCCCACCACTTAGCACTACTCTAGGAAAACAGAGTAGAAACTATTTAGCTCCTGAAACTATAAATCCTATAAATGGTCTATGGAGACACCTAGTTTGGTTTGAATTAATATCAGAGATGAGCATGTTTGGAGAGAAATCAGATAAAATGCTATAAATGAATATATACTGATGATTCAACAACAATCTAATGTTTGGCTTCATATACTGTCTATATACTCATAATTTCCCAATTTATAGCTCCAGCATAGGTTTCTCCCCTGAGCCACAGACTTGAATATCCAACTCCCTACTCAACATCTTTATCTCGTTATCTAAAAGGTGTTTAAAACTTTGTATGTTCAAAACTGAGCTCCTAATTCCCACCCCTTCCCAGACCTGCTACTCTCATAATCTTCTCCATTTTCATAGATGGCCACCTGATTCTTCTTTTTGCTCAGACCAAAGAACTTGAAGTCATACTTGACTCCTGTCTTTCACATCCCATATGCAATCTGTCAGCAAATCCTGTTGGTGCTATCATTGAAATACATCCAGGATCCAACCAGATCTTTCCACATCTCCACCACAACACCAGTTTGAGACATCATCTCCCAGCTGGATTGTTGTAATACTTTCCTAATTGGTGCACTGCTTACACCATTGCTTCCTATACCACATTTTCCACATTGTAGCCAGAAGGAAACTTTTAAAATCTAAGTCATATCATGTCTCTACTTTTCTCAAAAGCAACAATGGGGTCCTATTTCCTCAAAATAAAAGCCAAAATCCTTACAACATCCTACAAATCCCCTACAAGGTGTACCTCTCCCTACCCTAATCTCTCCAAACTCATCTTCTTGATATTTCCTCTCTGGTTTATGCACTCTGGCTGCACTAACATTCTTGGTGTTTCTGAAAATACCATGCATATTCCCATCTCAGGGTCTTTGCAACCTCCATCAAAAACCATCAAAAAATGGTATTTCTCATCCTCTTCCCTATATTTCAAAGAACTTATTGCAAATGACATGCTACATATTTTACTTATTTGTTTATTGTCTGCAATCTCTCTCTCTCGCCACTAAAATGTAAACTCCATGAAGGGAAGCATTTATTTCTTCCATTCATTGCTATATCCTTCAGAATGAGCACAGTATCTTGCATATAGTAGACACTTGGTCAATACATGTTGAATGAATAAACACTTGTTGAGAAGTCTTGAGAAGGGCTAGAGAGAATATGGAAATTAATAAGCCATAGTCTCTGCCCCTGAGGAACTCACAGCCTAATGCAAACAATAAACAACTGTACTACAAAGCAGCATGAAATGGCTCTTACAAAGAAAGACAAAGTAATGTTTGAGCACTAAATATGAAGTTATTGGGAAAGGACTGCATTTGATTTAGCTTATTTGTTTATCACCAACACTGTCACTACAACCACTGAAATCCCAGTGAGCACCTATGCTATAAGACCAGTTTTAATCTCTTTCTTCTTAAGTTTCCCTAACATGTTCTTCAGAAGGTAGACAGTTGTCTGAATTTTAAGCCTGGACTTTGCTACAAACAATGCTAAGTGAGAACTGTACCAACAGCAGACTTCTAGAAATAATATTTTTGCAGCCAAGAATTGGACTTTCACTCAGGAAAGGAGGCATCAATAAAATTCATATAACTTCATTTCAACTAACCCATACAGTTCTTTGTTCATTGAAGAATGAAAGTTCAACAAATGTGGATAAACTATATTCTACCTAAGGCCACTAATAATGCAAAAATATTAATCAAAGACTTTATAACTAAAAATAACTTAATAAAATCCTTTCTGTTATAATATAGAGATTAACAGATTTTATCTTCTGCAGTGGTCCCCAACCATTTTGGCACCAGGGACCTGTTTTATGGAAGACAATTTTTCTACGGATTGGGAGTGGGAAGAGCTCTGTGGCCTAGCCCCTAACAGTCCATGGACTGGTACCAGTCTGTGGCCCAGAGGGTGGGGACCACAGTTCTAAAGTACACTTTCCATCTTTTCACTTGCTCTTTCAATCAAGTCTTTGGATCACTCTGATCAGGATTAACACAGTATGTGGTTGACCAGAATAATGTTCCCCCTTAACCCTCAGTTGATTATCAATCTATAAGTTGATTATCAATCTTAATGCCATGCAAACCTAACAAGTTAAGTTTAAAAATGAAAAAAATTCTCAATTCTAATGCCTAATGCTGTGTTTTGGCAACTATGACTAGTTATGTTAAAATCACCCTTATTTTTATGTATGGAAACATAGACATTCTCTTTTCCCTCCATATGTTTATTTGCAACATGCAAACTCCAGAGAGAGAGAGAGAGAGAGAGATTCCTATAGCCATTCTGAACCATTTTCAAAGTTTTAATCGTAGCTATTCACAGCCATGAATCAGCTGGGAATGTCACATCTATTCAAGGTTATTGAGTGTCCTTGAAGGCAATCTTCCTTTAAACCACAAAACTGATATAAACCAAGAGAAAAGAATCCTTCCCTGCTCCCTGACCCTCAGCCATAACTTTTTTGTCTTAAAATTTGTATCAGTGGGCCCAGGTGATGAAGTAAACATTCTAGGTCTCTTTGGGTACATGATATGGAGACACACACAACTCTGTGTGCCTAAAGCTGTGATAATATATAACTGTGATATTTGTCAAAGCCTTGAGAAGCAGAGCTTGAATTCACTGACAAATAATTCATTTTTTGAAAATAAAAACATAGAAAATATTAAGAAAAAGATTAATGTTTTAAATCTAGCAGAGGATGAAAGCACAATAACTCTGAAAGAATGCTGTTCCAAATACTCTATAGTAAAGGATAGGTTCATATTTGCTTAATTAACTTTTTCATTCAGTGCCCAACATGGCATTCTGGAGGTCCACAGACAAGTAAATCTTATTTAGAAATGATGATACTGTTGATTCATAGCAAAACCAAACATACATATAATGCTATTCACATCAAAACACTTTTTTTATTTCTCTATGATTTTGATAATGATCAACTTTAAAACAAAGCAAATGTGTACATAAAACACATGCTGCTATGTGAAAAACATAGAGTGAAAAACAAAGAAGTCAATTATCTTTGCTACTGTAAAAGATCCATTCAGATTGTTCACAAAGTATAAATTCAAATGTCACCACCTGTGGTTTGCCCTTGTGCTTTCTGCTCTCCACTTGCTAACAAGATAAATTCCAAGTGACTTCAGAAGAGACCCATAGAGGTTTACATTCATGCACTCAGTTACCATAAGGTTAGGGAGAGACAACTTGGTATGTGGAAATCATTGGCCTTAGAATGACAAAATTACCACAATAAAAACTGCAGCAGCAGCTAACTCATATGGCAACTGTCAGGTACCAGGGACTGTTAGAGTGCTTGTCATATATTAACGCCTTTAATTCTTATAGCACAGCGAGGTAGGTAATATTGTTATCCCCATTTTACAGATAAAGAAAACCAAGGGACAGAGCCCCTAAGTGACTTGCCAAGGTCATTGCATAGCTGAGCTTCCATTTCCTATAGTCTGTCTCCAATGGCCACACTCTTTACCACTATTTCACACTGTCTTTCAGAAGAACATGTGATAGAATGATCTTAGAAAAATCACCTCCCCTATTTCAGGGCCTTATTTCTTTAAATTTC